GCCAGCGAACCTTTTTCTCAGACATGCTTTTTCCTCTAAGTGAAATACATTTAGTCTCTTAGTTGTTTTTTCAGAACCTGAAGTGCTGGCTGGCTGGCTAGCTAGACTGACTCAGCACTCATTCTCAGTTGCATTATGATGCCAAATATGGAAGTAAATCAGTCTTGTGCCCGCTACTGCTCTCCATCTGTAGACTTTGCACAGTCATGAAACTATCAGACAAGATGAACCCGATTCTTATGCGTAGGCTACCAGTATAGTAGTACCACTCGAGCGATGAGGCAGCTTGTGGATGGCACAGAGCACCTTCCCTACCCCTCCCTAATGTCTCTCAGTTCAGCGAGAGTTGAAGTCAAAGACGAAAGGCGCATGTTTTGGTTATGCACTGTAAGGTCACAGCCAACGTGATTCCACCAGCACCACAACAGCTGTAAAAACAGCGGCTGAAAATGGCTGACGGAGTGTGTGCCAGAGGGGTCCAGTAGCAGCACACAGCTGAGCAGCCAGGAAGATAATCCTAGTAGTAGCTAGCCTGTCTGTGTGTTCTCTCCCCTAAAGCCCATGTTCAAAGTAGGAGATGTTTTGGTCTGAAAGACAACATTCCAACAATGTGCTGTGTGATTTACTAGTTGAGTGTGGATACATTGGATGTTAAGTGCCTTGTGTACAGCTAACCCCTGCACTGATACTATTCAACATAAACAGACGTAAAGGAGAGCTACACAACATGTTTGTCAGTGAACAGTGAAAGCATTTACCTCTGGGAAGGGAACACACCCTTCTTAGGTCTCAGTACTATATCAGTCGTGCAAAGGCTGTCACATAGACTGCCCTCTGGTGGAGCCATATATCAATGTCACATTTTTCAGTCTCAAAACGTCTCATACAAAAAAATAATATATATATATATATATATATATATATATATATATATATATATATGCACGCATGACTGTAAGTCGCTTTGGATAAAAGCGTCTGCTAAATGGCATATTATTATTATTAAATTTAAATGTGAAGCAAAATTTAATATTTATTGAATGATAATGCAAACCCTTGACTGAAAGTAAAGAAACAAGACATGTTTTTTTGTTAGCCTGTAATGCTCTCTGGTGGTTATGTGGAATTGCTCCATTTTCAATTGCCCTCGTACCTCCTCAGGTGTTTCGAGGCTCTGGTGGTTTATTTTAAGGCAGGTAAAGAGGAGGAGCCATATGTCACCATCTCCAGGAAGATCAAGCTGAAGAAGGACCAGGGCACGCCCATGGAGTGGGAGATTGGCCACTCGGAGCGCAAGCTGGCCACCCACCGGAATGCCTTCAAACGCACCGCCGTCATCCAGGCCTTCCTGGGCTCCACCCCCCAGCTCACCCTGCAGCTGTACGCCACCATCCAGGAGAAGTACCTACTCCCCACCAGAAGTAAGAGTTCTCTTGATGCCGTTAATGGTGAATGCTGTATGTTTTGTTTGGAGGCGCTAACAAGTGCTTTGTTTCTGTGTTCATCCCAGTGACTCTGATGATCATCTGCCTCATCTCCGTCACCTATGGGGCCCTGGTGTGCAGCGTGCTGGCCATCAACATCCGCTACGACGACTACAAGGTGCGGCTGCGCCCGGCCGCCTACCTCTGCATGATCCTGTGGCGGGGCCTGGAGATCGCCACGCGCGTCACCTCACTGGTGCTGTTCAGCACGGCGCTCACCTACTGGGTGATCCCTGTGGGCCTAGGCAACCTGCTCTTCTTCTTACTGCTGCCCTGGGTTGAATTCTGGGTGCGACGCGCCTCGCTGCCCGACAACGTGGAGAAGAACTTCAGCAAGCTGGGCACCACAGTGGTGTTGTCGCTCGTCACCTTCCTGTACGCCTGCATCAACATCTTCTGCTGGTCGGCCGTGCAGCTAGACCTGGCCCATCGCGACCTCATCGAGAAGAAGCAGCGCTGGGGCCGCCTGGCCGCATACTACGTCGGACGCTTCCTCGAGAACGGCGCGCTCATCGCCCTCTGGTACTTCTACAAGTCGGACTTCTACGAGTACGTGTGTGCCCCGCTGCTGGTGGCCCAGCTGCTGATCTGCTACAGCCTGGCCGTGCTCTTCATGCTACTCTTCTACCAGTTCTGCCACCCGTGTCGGCGCCTCTTCAGGCACAACGTGCACGACTGCCTGGCCTGCGTCTGCTGCTGTATCTGCTGCCGTAGGGGCGGGGGGAGTGAGGAGCAGGGGCAACCCCATTCCTATTCCACCACCGCCACCATGGTGCTGGTGCCACTGGAGCCGCCTGAACTGCAGCCCCCCGACCTAACCAGCCAGCTGGGGGAGCGGGAGTCGGCCATCATTGAAGACATAATGGAGGCAGCTTGAGAAGGCCCCATGTGATGATTTGATGATATGGGGTCACTGCATGGTGCAACTACTGAACTAATGGCTATGTACACTCAGGACTGTTATACTGTGAGTGGTGCAGATAAGGAGACGGACAGAGCTGCTTGTTCTGCGGTGCACAGAGGACAAGTTGGTCCCAAGATTTTTATTGATTCTCCTCGTTTTAGAATAACACGTGCATGCAGAGCTTTGGGGTCAAAAAGATCAGCCGTGATATAGTCAATGTTGCATCACTGTTGTTGAATGGGTGTACTGTACAGGTAGAGAGGCAGTGGGCCACGGGAGACCAAAGACTGTACCCTGTTAAGATATGCAACCTTGAGAGAGCAGCACGGGGTCAGATACAATGGGGCCAGGTGTGTGGAAACATGCGGCCTTGGGCCGACTTCCCCTTTAAACTGGGACTTCCCCTGCTTACCTTCTCAGGGGTTTACTTAATTAATAAACCCAACATGTTGCATTAGGTACCTTTCATCCACACTTCCAAGGCCATATGTAACATGAAGGAAATAAAAGGTCAGATGAAATCAGAGCCACCTTCCTCAAACCCCACTCCACCCACTGTGTGTATTTATGAATGGTTTGTATTATTAGTACCTGGCCTTGTTTTATTTTGCCTTTGCACACAGTGGTTAAAAGTCAAACATTTACATTTACATTTACGTCATTTAGCAGACGCTCTTATCCAGAGCGACTTACAGTTAGTACAAACTTACATGACAAACTGAGTGAGTCATGCCGTGTTCACGTACTAGTCGGAACTAGGAACTAGGAAACTCTGAAATGTCCAACTTGCTAACTGGTTGAACGCAGCACGACTTACAAGTCGGAAATTTCAGAGTTTTGTAATTCCAACTAGCACGTTAAAGTGTCAATAGACAGTGATCATTTTAAGAACAAGTGGGTTAAAGAGACAATGCAGATTTTATGTAATCACACTTGTAAATACATATATTGTAATTGAGATGCAATTCACAACTTTTTACGTTAAGTGATGACTTGATTAAAAACATACAAATCATTGATGCCTTATCGGTAGCCTGAGCACCAGTGTCTTTAGCTAATGTTCCACTCCTTTCCACTCCTTGTCATTGGGATTAGCTAAAGACACTGGTACCCAGGCTACCTTAATGGTACCTTTATGTCTGAAATATTGAAGTCCATTATTTGTCTGCTTTTTAAGTGTGTGGTCTGTTTCAATAGCATGTTAAGTGCCTTAACTACTGCATTATTACTTGAATAAAAAAGGTATTGAATAATAAATGCTGTAATATAAAGAATATTTTCTCTTCTAATTATTTTGTCAGTAGTAGCCTATGGACTTTCCAAAAACCATATACAGTGCATTCGGAAATTATTCAGACCACTTGACTTTTTCCACATATTGTTACGTTACAGCCTTAATCTAAAATTGATTAAATAGTTTTTCCCCCCTCAATCTACACACAATAACCCATAATGACAAAGCAAAAACAGTTTTTTAGAAATGTTAGCTAATTCATAACAAATAAAAAAAGGAAATCACATTTACATAGGTATTCAGACCCTTTACTCAGTACTTTTTTGAAGCACCTTTGGCAGTGATTGCAGCCTCGAGTCTTCATGGGTATGACGCTACAAGCTTCGCACACGTGTACTTGGGGAGTTTCTCCCATTCTTCTCTGCAATCCCCTCAAGCTCTGTCAGGTTGGATGGGGAGCGTCGTGCACAGCTATTTTCAGGTCTCTCCAGAGATGTTAGATCGGGTTCAAGTCCGGGCTCTGGCTGGGCCACTCAAGGACATTGAGACTTGTCCCGAAGCCACTCCTGCGTTGTCTTGGCTGTGTGCTTAGGGTTGTTGTCCTGTTGGAAGGTGAACCTTCGCCCCAGTCTGAGGTCCTGAGCGCTCTGGAGCAGGTTTTCATCAAGGATCTCTCTGTACTTTCCTCTGTTCATCTTTCCCTCCATCCTCCAGATGTGACGCTTGGCATTCAGGCCAAAGAGTTCAATCTTGGTTTCATCAGGCCAGAGAATCTTGTTTCTCATGAGTCCTTTAGGTGCATTTTGGCAAACTCCAAGTGGGCTGTCATGTGCCTTTTACTAAGGAGTGGCTTCCGCTTGGCCACTCTACCATAAATGCCTGATTGGTGGAGTGCTGCAGAGATGGTTGTCCTTCTAGAAGGTTCTCCCATCTCCACAGAGGAACTCTGGAACTCTGTCAGTGTGACCATCGGGTTCTTGGTCACCTCCCTGACCAAGGCCCTTCTCCCTCGATTGCTCAGTTTGGCCGGGCGGCCAGCTCTAGAAAGAGTCTTGGTGGTTCCAAACGTCATGCATTTAAGAATGATGGAGGCTACGGTGTTCTTGGGGACCTTCAATACTGCAGACATTTTTTGGTACCCTTCCCCAGATCTGTGCCTCGAACGTGAGATGTTCTATAGATGCAGGCATGGATACTTATAATCGGGTGGGGGTAAACCCGAATATGGCTCGAAATTGTCTTCAATTCCTCTGCTTGGAGTCCAAGAGTCAACCATATTCGGTCCAAAAAATAAAAGTCTTCCTCATTCCAAAGGCGTGGCAAATGGCATTCTGACACGCTCCCAACAAATACAAATGATTACTTTCCTCCCTGAGGAAATGCAATTTTATGGACTGTGTATTTCTTTGTCATAACTTGGACTACTGACCTTAAATGGGTGGGGTTTGAACAGGTGCGCTGTATAAAAACGACTGGTAACGGGTTAAAGACCAGTAGTGTTGGATGGCGAAAGTCATTCAAAATGGGTAACTGGATCATTAACCATGGACTGACATCCTTCATACTGGTAAGAACATTATTTATTAACTTAATCATATTGGATAATGTAGGCTATAGTCAATGTATAATTTCAATGAATGCGATACATGTATTTGGGCTTTTAAGGACTGCCAGACAAAGCGCATCTGAGTGATGCCTCAGATGCGTAATTTCTCTCCAAATGCGCAAAATAGGATAACTTGGTTAGCCTTACTGAAACCCTAAAAGGTCGTGTCTACACTTGACACTTACATGCGACTTCTGCTATCAGAATAAGAAGATTGCATTGAAAAGACGGGTCTATTCGATTTGTGGTCTGATTGTGTTCAGATCTGGCTGACCACTTCAGGAGGTGGTCAGGAATGTATTGTGTGCGGATTTCTCCTCAGTCTGGACGCAATTAGGCTACGGAAAGCGCATACAATGGGCGACGTCATCAGCACTCCTCCCGCCAGTCTCCAAAAAACGTGTGTTTTGGGACCTTTTTATTATAAAGTTGGAGGAAATACGTTCCTACCGTGTGAAGGAACGTGTTTGCTGTCCTCGTAAATGCTAGCTAGCTAATATATGTTTTGTTTGGCTAGAGTTATGCTAATCCTTTATGCAATCCTTTTAGCGTTGCTTGCTGGCTAGCTACAGAGGTAGCTACTGCCATCAGTTGTTGTGTTATCAAATTTAGCCTATTCCACTGTTTGTAGAATGCATACTGATATTTGAATATAGTGCGGGAAAAGGGAATCCGAACACACTGTGGACATGGTAGACACGTTTAAATTTAGTGTCGGTACATGACTCGTTCGGAATTCCATGATCACCCTTACAAAAAAAGATTGCAATTTTTAAACTGCAGTAAAAGTGCCTATCTTCAGTCGACTGTGGTATTTTGGACGCAGTAATTGCAGAATAACTGCAGTTAGACTGCACTTTAACTGCACTCCGACTGCAATCTTTTTCGTAACGGCAGAACTCTGATCAGAATACTAAAGCTACATGCATTAACTGTCAAGTCTAGACGGAAAGATATGTTATTTTGAGAGGAATGCATGTGTTATTTTTTAAGAATAATAAATAGAAGAGTACAATATTCACAATCCTGCTGTTTTGGTAATCTTCTCCTGGCTGGATTTACAGGTGGTCTGGATGGCCATCAACATATTCATCTTCGTCTGGTTCTACTTCTTGTACGATTTAGAGGATCGGTTTTTCTACACGCGACACCTTTTAGGGGTGAGTCTTACCATAATATTTAGGCCTTGGGTAGTGTAAACATAGTATACTGTAAGTGCTCAATTAATAATGCATTCAGATGATTTAAGTAGGACAAGTATGAAGTATCCAATTTCAAATTGGAATTGTCCATTGAATTTGTTTCTATGTAGTTACAACGTTTTAACTGAGTTTGACCCGTAGTTTACACCATTCCTTATGATAGGACAGATGTCACAGAGTGTATGTATAGGATAACACACTGCAGAGGTTGACATGGGTGTCTTTGGGCTTTCAGTCTGCATTGGCCTGGGCCAGAGCCCCTGCAGCAGTCCTCAATTTCAACTGCCTGCTGATTCTGCTGCCTGTGTGTCGGAACCTGCTGTCTCTAGTCCGGGGCTCCTTCGTGGTAAGACTAATCCTGAGGGCCTAGCCAAGGGCTGGGCTGAGGGTGGGGACATCCATCCTGCAATTATTGCCTAATTTGTCATCACAGCATCTTGTGGCAAAAATTCCTCTGTAAATTACTGTATAGTTATATTGTCTGATGATAACTATAATGGAAGGGACTTGTATGGTTGAAGTGCTTTGCCAATAGCTGAAAGGTTCATGGCCTTTAATTAACTTTTGATTGTCAATTTCCTAATTTGTCTTGAACTTCCTTGTGTTGCTGTTTCAGTGCTGTGGAATAACTATGAGGAAACAGCTGGACAAAAATATCAGTTTCCACAAGCTGGTGGCCTACATGATTGGCCTGATGACAGGTATGCAACGCTTGCTTCCTGGTCAGATAACCAGCTGAAACCGTAGCCTGAAGCCTTTATTTTCTCTTGCACAGATAAATAATCTACTCTTAAACAAAGAGTGACAATGCTGATGAAATGTTTATGATTTATTTGAAATTGTTACCAGTATTATTTTGTCACCACAAAATATGACACTTTCTTATTGTGGTGAAGGCATATATGATACATCTATCTTTATGTAGAATAGGTCAAGGGGTGAAAAAGACAGGAAGACTGAAGCTGGAAATTGACTTACTATGGTGTGTTGGATGGGGAGATCCTGACCTCAGAGAGACTAAAGGCCTTACAAAGTCTGTCTCAAGAAGAACAAAGTAAACAGCCCATCCTTTAGAAAACAGATCGGACACATTCGATAGAACATTTGAACATTCATCCAGTATCTTTTGATATCGCCTGATATACTATTCAGGCTATATTGAGGATGTCATTGTAAACCTCCGCTTCTGTTGAAATACCAGTACATGGTTCAAAATAGATTGAAATGCTTGAGGAATGGATAACGACATTCAGACATTACTTATTTTATGTTTTTATCTCTGCCATTATCTCTGTGCCATTATCTTTGTGCCATTATCTTCGTGCCAATTTCTACACTTTCTATCCTTAAATAAGAGTTTTTCTATAGAATGGAGCAGTGGTATCCAATCAAGGCAGTGACTCAGATCCAAAGTCCAATTAATTAACATGCGCTGCCCTGAATGGATGTCGAATTTGGGGGTGGTTTATTCGGATCCCCATTAGCTTTTGCTGAAGCAGCAGCTATTCTTCCTGGGGTGGAATGATCCTGTTGAACAAATATGAGGAATCTCTATTCTATTCCTAATGCTAAATTAAAAGTTAAACTGTCTATTTCCTCTTGTTTTGTGGCAGCGGTTCACATCATTGCCCATTTGCTGAACGTGGAGTGGTGCTACAACAGCAGGCATGGAGAGTATGATGCCCTCAGCACGGCCCTGTCCAGCCTGAACGACTCGGGCAACACCACCTACCTGAACCCAATCCGCTCTACAAACACTGTACAAGCCATTGGAGTTTTTATCATTTGTTTAGTACTGTATTATAATTATTTGTATGTAATTGTAACTAGGCACCAAGTTTTTCCTAGTCAGGTTTGGTATACCAAACAAACTCCTGGCACAAGTCATTGTAGAAGTTTTATATAGGCCTAGACGTCATGTGAATGACTTGGGTGCATTCTGATTGGCTCCTTCTGCCTCAGACGCCGAACCTCCTGGTGTTCACCACCATCGCTGGGATCACAGGCGTAATCATCACGCTGTCACTCATCCTCATGATCACCTCGTCCATGGAGGTCATCAGGCGCAGCTACTTCGAGGTCTTCTGGTTCACACACCACCTCTTCATCGTCTTCTTTGCTGGACTGGTCTTCCATGGAGCCGGGTAAGGCGCTCTCTCACTCCCACTCATTTGAAAGCTACAATATCCGACCAAATTCACATAGAAATGTCAGTTATAAATCTGTCATTCTCATTGAAAGCAAGGCTAAGAAGCGGTAGATCTGTTCTATGTGCACTATTTCTATGTTTCCTGTTCTTAAGTTTCGTTTTTTTGCGTGTTTTACTTTCGGTTTTGTACACCAGCTTCAAACAGCTGAAAATACAATATTTTTGGTTATGGAAAAGGTATTTCACAGAGGTTTAGATGGTACAATGATTCTCTACACTATACTTGCTTGTTTTGTCACTTAAACTGAAATTCTGCAAACTACTGTATTACAAGTTATGCAACCAGGAAATTGCAGAGCAATTTCTGCATAGTGCACCTTTAAGAGTAAATGTTTGTTTTAGATTAGAAGTCAATGGTTTTGTCCTTTGTCTACAGACGCATTGTTCGAGGTCAGACAAACGCCAATCCGCCATATAATATCACCTTCTGTAAAGATCATATAGAAGACTGGGGGAAGAATAAAATGTGTCCCGTCCCTCAGTTTGCAGGGGGGTTCCCACAGGTAAGAGGTTCCTCAATGACACATAATAATACCACCTATAATCGAAAATGACTTAAGAGAATTGTCTTAGATACAGTATATCCTGTGTTCCCTTGTCCTTATAGACCTGGATGTGGGTGATCGGTCCCATGGTCCTCTATGTGTGTGAACGCTTGCTGCGCTTCATCCGCTACATTCAAGCTGTCAAATACAGAAAGGTAAGTGTGCACTGCAGTAACCACTAACTATTCTGTTTAATTGACAATAATTGTATTTTCCATTCCATGACCAGATAATCAATATCCGTCTCTCTAACGCTCCCCTCTTAGATAGTGATTCGGCCGTCCAAAGTACTGGAACTGCAGCTGATGAAGAAGGGTTTTAAAATGGACGTGGGCCAGTACGTCTTCCTCAACTGCCCTGCCATCTCCCAGCTGGAGTGGCACCCCTTCACCATGACCTCTGCCCCCGAGGAGGACTTCTTCAGCGTGCACATCCGCTCCGTAGGTGACTGGACCCAGAAACTCATCAGCATCGTGGAGCAACTCCCTGAGGGGGCTCAGGGACCCAAGTAAGTTATTATCTTTATAGAAAAGCAGACAATGGCTTATAATGTAGCAGCAAGCTGCTCATCTTTGTAGATGGGGAGGATAAGGGGCACCAATGCATGATTTCTGTGAAGGGTCAAAGTTACATGCACAGATTACGTTGGAAACCATTCCTGAATGCATAGGAGTTAGGTTTAGCTGGTCAAATCTTTCTGCCCTCCCTTCCTGTTTCGATGGCTTGACCTTTGACCTGTCCCTCAGAATGGGCGTGGACGGACCGTTTGGTACGGCCAGTGAGGATGTGTTTGACTACGAGGTCGCCATGCTGGTTGGCGCTGGAATCGGAGTCACCCCCTTCGCCTCCATCCTCAAGTCCATCTGGTACAAATTCAAAGACTCCAACCCCAAGCTACGCACCAGAAAGGTAGGGAACATATTAATACTCTCTGGCTTTCCATTGAAGCTACTAACCAGACAGCTTTAGTCCTGCAAACCAGTCTAATTCCATGATGCATCTGAATGTCTCTGTGAACGTTCATATTTTTCATGGACTATTGCCAGCATAGCATGTTATAGCTTCGGTATTGCATTGTTTGAAATCACATTCACATATTTACTTCCTGGTTGCAGATTTACTTCTATTGGCTGTGCAGGGAGACGCATGCCTTTGAGTGGTTTGCAGATCTGCTGCAGGTGCTGGAGAGGGAGATGGAGGAGAGAGGCATGGGAGACTTCCTCACCTACAAACTCTACCTCACTGGATGGGATCAGAGCCATGTACATGAGGCAGCATACATACACCCACCAACAATCTATTACCATATTCCACTGTGAGACATGCAGTAGTTATGGTAGAGTGTCCGTTCACTATCTTTCTTCCCCATAGGCAACTCATGTGATGGTTCATGCGGATGCGGACATGGATGTGGTCACTGGTCTGAAGCAGAAAACCAACTATGGCAGGCCCAACTGGGATAAGGAGTTTGAACAAGTCTGCAAAGAGAATCCGACGTAAGTTTGTTTACAACATGCCTTGACATTACAATATTGACATTACAATATTCCCTTATAAATCAAATTTGGACAGTAGTTAATGCTGCAATATGTAACCTTTTGTGGCGACCCAACCAAATTCACAAGTCTAAGAAGCTGTAGATCTGTTCTATGTGCGCTATTTCTATGCTTCCCGTTCTTAAGTTTTGTTTTTGCGTTTTGTACACCAGCTTCAAACAGCTGAAAGTAAAATATTTTTGGTTACGGAAAATAGATTTCACAGCGGTTTAGATGGTACAACGATTCTCTACACTATACTTGTATGTTTTGTCACAAACTGAAATTAAGTGAACTTTTACAATTTTAGCAACCAGGAAATGGAGCAATTTCTGTATTGTGCATCTTTAATAGCAGGGGTATTACATATAGCTTGGACTGTACCCTTCATTGACTAAACTACTATATATGTGTCTCTTATCAATGTCTACAGGTCAGTGGTGGGCACGTTCTTGTGTGGCCCTGCAGTCTTAGCTACCGTCTTGTCAAATAAATGTGTCAAATACACGGACGTCGATCCCCGAAAGACCAAATTCTACTTCAACAAGGAGAACTTCTGAGCAAAACAATGTCTAATCTGCCTCCCTTGAAGAAAAAGCTGGTTCTTTGGTCTTCCAAAATGTTTGCAACAGAGATGTTTTTAAAACCATTCATCAGGGGGCCTCCCGAGTGGCGCAGTGGTCGAAGGCACTGCATCGAAGTGCTTGAGGCGTCCCTACAGACCCGGGTTTGATCCCAGGCTGTGTCACAGCCAATCGTGACCGGGAGACCCATGAGGCGGCGCACAATTTAATGATCAATGCAAACAGGATGCACCTGAGCACAATTTCGAGTCTCATAGCAAATGGTCTGAATACTTATGTAAATCTGTTTTTTATTTTTAATAAATTTGCTAACATTTCTAAAAACCAGTGTTTGCTTTGTCATTATGGGGTATTATGTGTAGATTGATGAGGGGGAAAACCTATTTAATCAATTTTAGAATAAGGATGAATACTTTCCGAATGCACTGTATGGCCCAGGCCAACCATTGGATTTGATTTGCCCCTCACTTGTGATCCCAACACTGATAATTAAAGATTTTGATAAGGGAAATAAAAATCTTCTCAATAGCAGACGATTCATCTTCTTTAGGCAATTACTATACTACTCTATAGAGGCGTAATAAAGAGCTAATTTTGTTTAAGTAGGTAATTTGCCTTTACAGAAACGGTAGCATGGGCAAGATAAACTTTTATACTCTTCTGGCCCGTTCAGCAGGATGCAATGTTTTGTTACGTTCTAATATAAATATTCTATGTAGAACAAACATGCCTCTGACATGTACACTGAACAAAAATATAAATACAACACGCAACAATTTAAAAGATTTTACTGAGTTCATATAAGGCAATCAGGTCAATTGAAATAAATTCATTAGGCCCTAATCTATGGATTTCACATGTCTGGAAATACAGATATGCATCTGTTGGTCACAGATACCTTAAATAAAAGGTAGGGGCATGGATCAGAAAACCAGTTAGTATCTGGTGTGACCACCATTTGCCTCATGCGCGACACATCTCCTTCACAGAGAGTTGATCAGGCTGTTAATTGTGGCCTGTGGAATGTTGTCCCACTCCTCTTCAATGGCTGTGCGAAGTCACTGGATTTTGGCAGGAACTGGAACACGCTTTCGTACACGTCGATCCAGAGCATCCCAAACATGCTCAATGGGTGACATGTCTGGTGAGTAGGCAGGCCACGGAAGAACTGGGACATTTCCAGCTTCCAGGAATTGTGTACTGATCCTTGCGACATTGGGCTGTGCATGCTGAAACATGAGGTGATTGTGGCGGATTAATGGCACAACAATGGGCCTCAGGATCTCGTCACGGTATCTCTGAGCATTCAAATGTAATTGTGTTAGTTGTCCATAGCTTATGCCTGCCCATACCATAACCCCACCACCACCATGGAGCACTCTGTTCACAACATTGACATAAACAAACCGCTAGCCCACACGACGCCAAACACGCTGTCTGCTATCTGCCCGGTACAGTTGAAACCGGGATTCATCCATGAAGAGCACACTTCTCCAGCAGCCATCGAAGGTGAGCATTTGCACACTGAAAACGGTTATGATGCCAAACTGCAGTCAGGTCAAGACCCTGGTGAGGACGATGAGAACCCAGATGAGCTTCCCTGAGACGGTTTCTGACAGTTTGTGCAGAAATTATTTGGTTGTGCAAACCCACAGTTTCATCAGCTGTCCGGGTGTCTGGTCTCAGATGATCCCGCAGGTGAAGAAGCCGGATGTGGAGGTCCTGGGCTGGCGTGGTTACATGTGGTCTGCGGTTGTGAGGCCGGTTGGACATTCTGCCAAATTCTGTTAAACGACAGAGGCAGCTGATGGTAGAGAAATGAACATTAAATTATCTGGCAACAGCTCTGGTGGACATTCCTGCAGTCAGCATGCCAATTGCACGCTCCTTCAAAACATGAGACATCTGTGGCATTGTGTTGTGACAAAACTGCACATTTTAGAATGGCCTTTTATTGTCCCCAGCAGAAGGTGCACCTGTGTAATGATCATGCTGTTTAATCAGCTTCTTGATATGCCACACCTTTCAGGTGGATGGATTAGTTTGGCAAAGGAGAAATTCTCACTTCCAAATTTGTGCACAAAATTCAAGATAAATACGTTTTTGGTGCGTATGGAACATTTATGGGATCTTTTATTTCAACTCAAACATGGGACCAACACTTTACATGTTGTGTTTATATTTTTGTTCAGGGTAGAATAAAGAATCACCCATGGCTCTATTCACAGCATTCCTATCTGAAATGTTCCAAAACGTTTTTGTTCTGAACATGGCCCTGCCTTAGACACAGGCCTATGCGTTTTTTCACACTTTCAAGGTGTGTAGCTACAGACAAGGAAATGATAGCAATGTTTTTACAAAAGCCCTATTGTATAATCAATATCAACTTCCTTGTAAATGATACAGGTGCACTAGAGTGGAAGAAAATTAGGGCGAGACATTGCCAGTCAAAGCCACAGAATATGTTCATAGGATCGTGACACATTTGATCTAGAAGGGTGTACACAAAGGTACTTTATTTTGGAAATGTGAGGACTCTTCCACTCCATGTACCCCCTCAACCTACACAGTTGTTTCACTTCATTTGTATGTCTTGTTCCTGTTTCTTATGAGCACATAGATAACTATTGTAATCTACAATGATTCTTTAATCCTCTCCTGTACATACCATCATCCCATCTGAATAAAATACAGTACTGAAAGAATATAGGGGAACTCTTTTTTATTTATTGATAAACATCCAGACAGGCAACAGGTTCCAGCCACAAAATAAAATGTTGGGCTTTTTAAAATACAATATGAAAACCCATAACATCCGGCAACACTTCTCTCCGATGAACTTTGACTATGAAGTGTTCCCGTTTGAAGATTAACTGACATTCTTCAATCACAAGCACTCACTTCAACCTTCCATTCAAAAAACTGACAATATAATACAAAACAATCTACAAAATGTTTGAAATTAGGATGAGGTGACGTTGAGATTAAAGGGGGGACAGGGGTGTCGGACTCCGCGGGATTGGGAGTGTTCTTTAGGGCGCCCCGGCGGTCTTCTGGATCTGCTCTTTGAGGATGAGGATGCTCTGCCTCTGCTCTGGGGGCAGCATGGCAATCTGTTCTGGGGTCAGCTGCAGCACCTGCATGATCAAGGCGGCCTGCAAAAAAAAAAATGACACTAGTGAGCCACTCTGCTCTCAGATCAGATATTGACAGGCAGTAAGGTTAAAACCAAAATACCTCCAAAAGCACAGCATTTGGATGGAAAGGGAAAGTCAGATCTTTCCAAATAGTTTACACAGAACATGTTCAGATTTTCCATGGACTAACTAATTTACGTCATGTAGTGCATTCCATTGGTTATTATTGCATTGAAATGAATGGCTTTGCATTGGGTGCTAATGCATTGGTTCTTTTGTTGCCCTGACTTATATTTGTTACTCTTCAGCTAGCCAAGGAAAGCACTGAGCTCCAAGTTGTCCCCACAAAACTAAGTGCTTGAGATGTCCTCATCCCATTCCTCAATAACTTCCTCCCCACACTGCTGACAGGTTAGGAGACGGAGACCTTTCATTTAAGACTTTTGATAAAAGCTGGGGTTTAAGCTTCTTGTCATTGAGTATCTACAGTGCCTTCAGAAAGTATTCACACCCCTTGACTTTATCCACATTTTGTTGTGTTACAGCCTGAATTTAAAATTGATTACATTGTGATTAGTCACTGGCCTACACACAATAACCAATAATATCAACGTGGAATTATTTGTTTCATTTTTCTTTACAAATTAATTTAAAAAATGAACTGCCTTAATGTCTTGAGGCAATAAGTATTCAACCCCTTTGTTACGGCAAGCCTAAATAATAAGTTCAGGAGTAAAAATGTGCTTAACAAGTCACATAGACTGAGTGTCATAATAGTGTTTAAACATTATTTTTGAATGACTACCTCATGTCTGTACCCCACACATATAATTATCTGTAAGATTCCTCAGTCGAGCAGTGAATTTCAAACACAGATTCAACCACAAAGACCAGGGAGGTTTTCCAATGCCTCGCAAAGAAGGGCACCTATTGGTAGATGGGTAAAATAAACATAAAAAAGCAGACACTGAATATCCCTTTGAGCATGGTGAAGTTATTAAATGCCACTTTGGATGGTGTATCAATACACCCAGTCACTACAAAGATTCAGGCATCCTTTCTAACTCAATTGCCGGAGAGGAAGGAAACCACTCAGGGATTTCACCATGAGGCCAATGGTGACTTTTACATTTTTAATCAGATTGAAATGTAATTGTCTGCATCACTTCCAATCCCCCATATGTTTTTTCTCACATACACAGTGAGGGAAAAAAGTATTTGATCCCATGCTGATTTTGTACGTTTGCCCACTGACAAAGAAATGATCAATCTATAATTTTAAATGGTAGGTTTATTTGAACAGTGAGAGACAGAATAACAACAAAGAAATCCAGAAAAACGCATGTCAAAAATGATTTGCAATTTAATGAGGGAAATATGTATTTGACCCCCTCTCAATCAGAAAGATTTCTGGCTCCCAGGTGTCTTTTATACAGGTAACAAGCTGAGATTAGGAGCACACTCTTAAAGGGAGTGCTCCTAATCTCATTTTGTTACCTGTATAAAAGACACCTGTCCACAGAAGCAATCAATCAATCAGATTCCAAACTCTCCACCATGGCCAAGACCAAAGAGCTCTCCAAGGATGTCAGGGACAAGATTGTAGCCCTACACAAGGCTGGAATGGGCTACAAGACCATCGCCAAGCAGCTTGGTGAGAAGGTGACAACAGTTGGTGCGATTATTCGCAAATGGAAGAAACACAAAATAACTGTCAATCTCCCTCGGCCTGGGGCTCCATGCAAGATCTCACCTTGTGGAGTGGCAATGATCATGAGAACGGTGAGGAATCAGCCCAGAACTACACGGGAGGATCTTGTCAATGATCTCAAGGTAGCTGGGACCATAGTCACCAAGAAAACAATTGGTAACACACTACGCCGTGAAGGACTGAAATCCTGCAGCGCCCGCAAGTTCCCCCTGCTCAAGAAAGCACATATACAGGCCCGTCTGAAGTTTGCCAATGAACATCTGATTGATTCAGAGGAGAACTGGGTGAAAGTGTTGTGGTCAGATGAGACCAAAATCGAGCTCTTTGGCATCAACTCAACTCGCCGACCCCAAGAACACCATCCCCACCGTCAAACATGGAGGTGGAAACATTATGCTTTGGGGGCGTTTTTCTGCTAAGGGGACAGGACAACTTCACCGCATCAAAGGGACGATGGACGGGGCCATGTACCGTCAAATCTTGGGTGAGAACCTCCTTCCCTCAGCCAGGGCATTGAAAATGGGTCGTGGATGGGTATTCCAGCATGACAATGACCCAAAACACACGGCCAAGGCAACAAAGGAGTGGCTCAAGAAGAAGCACATTAAGGTCCTGGAGTGGCCTAGCCAGTCACCAGACCTTAATCCCATAGAAAATCTGTGGAGGGAGCTGAAGGTTCGAGTTGCCAAACGTCAGCCTCGAAACCTTAATGACTTGGAGAAGATCTGCAAAGAGGAGTGGGACAAAATCCCTCCTGAGATGTGTGCAAACCTGGTGGCCAACTACAAGAAACGTCTGACCTCTGTGATTGCCAACAAGGGTTTTGCCACCAAGTACTAAGTCATGTTTTGCAGAGGGGTCAAATACCTATTTCCCTCATTAAAATGCAAATCAATTTATAATATTTTTGACATATTTACATTTACGTCATTTAGCAGACACTCTTATCCAGAGCGACTTACAAATTGGTGCATTTACCTTATAGCCAGTGGGATAACCAATTTACAATGTTTTTTTTCTTCTTTGGGGTGGGGTAAGGGGGGGGTAGAAGGATCACTTTATCCTATCACAGGTATTCCTTAAAGAGGTAGGGTTTCAAGTGTCTCCGGAAGGTGGTGAGTGACTCCGCTGTCCTGGCGTCGTGAGGGAGCTTGTTCCACCATTGGGGTGCCAGAGCAGCGAACAGTTTTGACTGGGCTGAGCGGGAACTGTGCTTCCGCAGAGGTAGGGGGGCCAGCAGGCCAGATGTGGATGAACGCAATGCCCTTGTTTGGGTGTAGGGACTGATCAGAGCCTGAAAGTATGGAGGTGCCGTTCCCCTCACAGCTCCGTAGGCAAGCACCATTCACATGCGTTTTTCTGGATTTTTTTGTTGTTATTATGTCTCTCACTGTTCAAATAAACCTACCATTAAAATTATAGACTGATCATTTCTTTGTCAGTGGGCAAACGTACAAAATCAGCAGGGGATCAAATACTTTTTTCCCCTCACTGTACATACATACATACATACACACACACACACACACACATATACATCCATACACACACATATCCTTTTAATCCCACTTTGTAACAACAAAATGTGGGAAAAGTCAAGGTGTGAATACTTTCTGAAGGCACTTGATGCTCCATTTTCTCTAGACAGCCGACACTAAATCTGAGCCAATATCTTCTAGTATCGAGCCAGGCATTTTAAGGTGAAACTGAAAGTTAATCGTGACACAACGGTGACATGACAAACCCACCTTCTCATGGTCCTGTGAGGTCACCTGGCTTTGCCCTGGGCTGAAGCTACCTCCGGACTGTGGTACACCAGGACCCTGAAAAAAACCACAAACAGTTATTACAACTGTTTTCATTGACAAGTGAAGACCTAATGTAGTAAAGACATTTGCTGTAGGTAGGCGTACCGGTCTGGCAGGTGGAGGGGCATTAGGATTCATGGAGTGAGGGGGGGGACCCTGCATTCCTTGGGCCATGGGAACCCTCTGGCCTGACACTGGTCCACGTGTGTCCACCGCTCTGGGGTCGCGACCTTTAGAAACAACAGCCATTCCTCACGTGATTACTCATTACTGATCTGATCTAACTAGTCTAAGCACAGGAGCTTTTCCACCTGTTTTGCACACAGTTCTAAATGATGGCAATAAAGCTTCTTATAAAATGTCTGCTAAGAGAGACTTAATTGGACTTGATGTTAATACTGTGATGTGGTTACCTCTGGTCTCCATGGGGGGTCCCCTGGGCTCCATCATGGGGGGTCCTCGGGGCTCTCCCATCATGCCTCTGGGTTCACCCATGGGGGGTCCTCGGGGCTCTCCCATCATGCCTCTGGGTTCACCCATGGGGGGTCCTCGGGGCTCTCCCATCATGCCTCTGGGTTCACCCATGGGGGGTCCTCGGGGCTCTCCCATCATGCCTCTGGGTTCACCCATGGGGGGTCCTCGGGGCTCTCCCATCATGCCTCTGGGTTCACCCATGGGGGGTCCTCGGGGCTCTCCCATCATGCCTCTGGGTTCACCCATGGGGGGTCCTCGGGGCTCTCCCATCATGCCTCTGGGTTCACCCATAGGAGGTCCTCTCATGTCGTGGGGTGGCCTCATGTCCGGAGGAGGCCCGCCAGCCATCTGGTTCATGTGCATGGGGGGCCCCTGGTGTGGTGGGGGGGCACCGATGAAGCCTCCTCCTCGACTGGACACAAAGAACACAGAATAAGCCAGTTTTTCACAGACATTTAAAAAAGGTGCTATAAGAATGCAACTGATTAATTCAATGACGGTAAAACTACACTAACAACGATGGCTCTTCTCTCACCTTGGTTCGATGACCTCTCCTGTGACTGAGAGCAGGGTTCCTCCTCGGGGGTCATTGGGGCCGTCACCAAGCAGTCCTCTGGGGGGGATACCACCTGGTCCTGAGGGGGAGGGGGGGACACATCAGTCAGCTATAGACATGTAGGAGGGACAACACCTATCACAGAACACAACATCACTCACTACACCGTAATGCATCCATAGAACTACAATTCTAATTCTATGGTCATGTCACTCATCAGACCATGATGATTTCATTTCACTATGACTCCCATAGGTCATACAGACACTACAGGACACACACTAACCACAGGTCACCATCACACCACAGACAGGGAGGAGCAACAAGGAAGTACCAATGAAGGAGCTTTACACAAAAGGAGCACGGCATATATTTGAAAAGGTTCTGTTTTCAACTGGCTTGCCTACTTGCGTCTTGCACGTCTGGTATTGTTGGACCGGTCACATCAATAGAAGAGGCATGTGTTAGTGACACATGAAAAAAAGCCACGGGTGTCATCATGAAATTGGAAAAGCAGCAGAAGTCTAGTCTGTCTACAAATAGATTTGTGCTACAATAAATGTATTAATCCCATTCCTCATCATGGAATTTAACAGGCGATTACAAATGTGGGCCTTCTTTGGCAATCACTCAAATCATTCATCACACTTTTATCTTGGGACTATTGTTCATATTTGCGGTTGCACCACACTCCTCTCTCCAACTATGAGATTACAGGGTTTTAGGACAATGGGTTTCGTTAGCCTGAAGTAAACACCAATAATTCCTTGTATGCAATCCTGGATGAACAGTCAGACTAATAATACATTTCAAAATTATCCAAATTGATTTATTCTGACAGGATATAACTTCTGCTTTTATGAGATGTTCCTTAAGTTTGATGTGCAACGTGTGCCCTCAATAGGTGTTCCTCGTGTTTTACATGTAACATAGCAAACATATGGAAATGATAGCGTCAGTCTTGGTTGTTAGGCTATAGGCAGCCCATAACACCACTATTGGCTTGGCTGGAGTCTGGGGGGAGGCAGGCCGGAGCCTGGGGTTAGGGTGTGGGTGATACCTTGAGGTCGCTCGATAGCAGCCTGCCCAGACGATCCTACGGGAGAGTGCTGGAGGTTTCCTGAGCCAGCATTAAGTGAAAAAAACAGGAGACACACGACTCAGAGAGCAAAGCAGCAACACATAGGAGCGCACCATCGCATGCCACACTGACAGAGAAGCCTCCAGACTTCATAGCAGGAGTTCAGAACACACAAAAAGCAGCACTAAATCCTAACTGACATGGATGGCTGAAGTGGATGAGGTGGCAGAGGTGCATTTAGTGGTTAAAATGTACCAAAATATACACTGCTCAAAAAAATAAAGGGAACACTAAAATAACACATCCTAGATCTGAATAAATGAAATAATCTTATGAAATACTTTTTTCTTTACATAGTTGAATGTGCTGACAACAAAATCACACAAAAATGATCAATGGAAATCAAATGTATCAACCCATGGAGGTCTGGATTTGGAGTCACACTCAAAATTAAAGTGGAAAACCACACTACAGGCTGATCCAACTTTGATGTAATGTCCTTAAAACAAGTCAAAATGAGGCTCAGTAGTGTGTGTGGCCTCCACGTGCCTGTATGACCTCCCTACAACGCCTGGGCATGCTCCTGATGAGGTGGCGGATGGTCTCCTGAGGGATCTCCTCCCAGACCTGGACTAAAGCATCCGCCAACTCCTGGACAGTCTGTGGTGCAACGTGGCGTTGGTGGATGGAGCGAGACATGATGTCCCAGATGTGCTCAATTGGATTCAGGTCTGGGGAACGGGCGGGCCAGTCCATAGCATCAATGCCTTCCTCTTGCAGGAACTGCTGACACACTCCAGCCACATGAGGTTTAGCATTCTCTTGCATTAGGAGGAACCCAGGGCCAACCGCACCAGCATATGGTCTCACAAGGGGTCTGTGGATCTCATCTCGGTACCTAATGGCAGTCAGGCTACCTCTGGCGAGCACATGGAGGGCTGTGCGGCCCCCCAAAGAAATGCCACCCCACACCATGACTGACCCACCGCCAAACCGGTCATGCTGGAGGATGTTGCAGGCAGCAGAACGTTCTCCACGGCGTCTCCAGACTCTGTCACGTCTGTCACATGTGCTCAGTGTGAACCTGCTTTCATCTGAAGAGCACAGGGCGCCAGTGGCGAATTTGCCAATCTTGGTGTTCTCTGGCAAATGCCAAACGTCCTGCACGGTGTTGGGCTGTAAGCACAACCCCCACCTGTGGACGTCGGGCCCTCATACCACCCTCATGGAGTCTGTTTCTGACCGTTTGAGCAGACACGCACATTTGTGGCCTGCTGGAGGTCATTTTGCAGGGCTCTGGCAGTGCTCCTCCTGCTCCTCCTTGCACAAAGGAGGTGGTAGCGGTCCTGCTGCTGGGCTGTTGCCCTCCTACGGCCTCCTCCACGTCTCCTGATGTACTGGCCTGTCTCCTGGTAGCGCCTCCATGCTCTGGACACTACGCTGACAGACACAGCAAACCTTCTTGCCACAGTTCGCATTGATGTGCCATCCTGGATGAGCTGCACTACCTGAGCCACTTGTGTGGGTTGTAGACTCCGTCTCATGCTACCACTAGAGTGAAAGCACCGCCAGCATTCAAAAGTGACCAAAACATCAGCCAGGAAGCATAGGAACTGAGAAGTGGTCTGTGGTCACCACCTGCAGAACCACTCCTTTATTGGGGGTGTCTTGCTAATTGGCTATAATTTCCACCTGTTGTCTATTCCATTTGCACAACAGCATGTGACATTTATTGTCAATCAGTGTTGCTTCCTAAGTGGACAGTTTGATTTCACAGAAGTGTGATTGACTTGGAGTTACATTGTGTGGTTTAAGTGTTCCCTTTATTTTTTTGAGCAGTGTATATTGCAGATAGAAATGTACTTCAGCATCCCCTAAAAAAATAGTCTAGCTAATCTTTACATAGTTGGACAATCATGTCTGATCTATTATTTCTAACTGCAATGCTATCATCATTTCAGCCACCTGATTTGGCCTCAGGCCTGAGGCACTTAAACCACTAGTTTCCTCTGCCACCAAGTGTCAACAAAGAGTAATGACATGCACAGGAGGAAAGGAAGACATGAAAATAAAGCAGATGGGCAAAATGGGAAACTGGAAAATGGTGGAAACAAAACCAAAAAAGAGACTAACGGTTTTGACAAATGACCTGAAAAACATGGTGATAATGTGAAGACTTAACTGGCAAATACTTCAATTGAAGCCCCAACTAAGGATGGATGGGTGGATGGATTGTAATGCCATTAAAACTAGTTTAACTGGAGACACAGGCATGTTAGATTACCTTGTCCCCTATCGATAGGAACGGGACCTCCCTGAGGCATTCCCATCGGTGGCTGTATCCCACCTGGGGTGAAATGGCAAGGTGAAGCACAACAGGGGTGCTCCTTTGACTTCTGGATACTGAGAGGCTGTCTATGGTTGTGTGGTTGTGTGTGTGTGTGTGTGAGTGAGAGAGAGAGAGAGAGACAACGGGTGAGAGAATGAGTGTCTACCTGGTGGTCCCACCGGTCCCTGCCCTGGCATGGGCCCAGGTCCTCCACCCATGGGAGGGGGCTGCATCATCTGGGGGGCTCCGTTCATGTGCATGCCCGGCTGACGACCACACACAACCAGACATTAGGACATGGAACAGCACACATGCATCATGCAACAATTATTAAATAATTATTAAAATGTAGATCCTAGATTTAGCTTTAGAGATTGTGTAGGTTGACCTCATAGATGTAGAAAACCGACAGATGGTCTTCAGTTGATCTAAATCCTAATAAATTAAACGATTAGCTATACGTGTCTGCCAAAGTGGATTCACCATTGGCTGCGACTGGGAGACTGGCGCATTGGGCGGTGGAATAGGCTGGTTGGCCACTGGCACTGGTCCAGCTTGACTGTTGGGAACCAATGGCTGCACTGGGGTTTGACGGTGAAGCATTTTCTACAGCAGAGGTCAAATGAGCAGAGGAACATCCATGTTAAACGTTGACAATTCTCTTGACGACAACATGTGCAACAATATCTCTGAATGACTTAATGCTCAAGGTCTATGAAGAACACAATCTTAACCATTATGCTCTAAAGTCAGTAAGACATCCACAACACTGGGGCTTCCGCCTAACCCCATATCACTTGTGTGCATTTGCACTGACCCAAGTTGAATGATACTGTACTTCCAAGTAACCAAGTCTCACCAAGGCAATCTCAGGGTCTACGATCCTCATGACCACCTGGGCCTGGAGCAAGGCAAAGGCCAGCTGGGGGTTTTGCAAAAGCATGTTCCTGGCCTCCTGGGGACTGTTTTGCACACACAGCTGGAGGGTGAAAATCACATGATAATGTGAGTCCAATGTATTCCAATGAATTTATCCACAAGTGACTGTCTATGCATGGACGATCCTGCTATGATGTGATGATATACAATCTCAATACAAGGAAACTGGAGTCTGTAGAGAAAAACTCACCTTCATCTGTTTCATGAGCTCAAACATCTGCTCTGGGGGCAGACTGGCCACAGCTCTGCTTATAGACTCTGGAGCCTCGTCTGGCATTATGTTGTCCCCGTAGGGAGACTCAATGATGGGGGCCCCCGTCCCCAAACCTGGAGGAGACAACAGGAGTTATGTCCTAAGAGTTATGCTGAAAGCTTCAATCTCTACCAATTATTAAGAAGCAGCAAAACATGTCCCAACCCTTTTTCAGTTGTTTGTTGTGGTTAATAGTGAACTGCAATGCATACTTTACATTGTGGTTAATGGTGCACTGCGGTGTAGAGGGACAATAGACCTGCGGGTCCCGACAGATCATTACAACGCGGTCTGCATGTTTCATGCTGCGGTTGGGAGCGGGCGGTCAGACAACTTTGGGATGAAAATATTTTTGTTGTCCCGCAGATTATTTGCAAACGGACGTCTTTCTGCTTTGCATGCGTTAGCCTACCTATTGTATTAAAAACCCATCTTTGTCGCATTATTAACACACTCAGAATTCGCTGCTTCAAGTTAAGTAGCATGCCTCTCCTAGGTGGGCGTGCGAGATCAAGTGCGCCTAGAATGTTTAGTCTCAATGAAATAGAGTAGGCTGCCTATGCATGGACGGAGATTCAAGTGGTAGTTATCTTGCCAAGGAAATGAAATTATGATTTGACTATAGTTTCCAACAGTAGCTGGGTTTCCCTCCAATTTGCGACAGATTTTCATGAGAATATTCTAAAATCTGCATAAAACATGCACGTTTTCCCACCAGGGACGTTTCCATCAAACATACTTTTTGCAGATAAAACGGCTGTGCATGATGACGTAGTGCACAAAAACTTTTGCTGTTAAATCCCCATAAAAAATACAAGTTAAATGTGTTTCCATCTCATTTTCAACTGCACTGATGGTTGTCACAAAAACTGTTGCATTATACAGTGCATTCGGACTGTATTCAGGCCCCTTGACTTTTTCCACATTGTTACTTTACAGCCTTATTCTTAAATGGATTAAATTGTTTTTTTCCCTCAATCTACACACAATACCCCATAATGACTAAGCAAAAACAGATTTTTGGATTTTTTTGCAAATGTATTACATTTTTTAAACTGAAACATCACATTTACATAAGTATTCAGACCCTTTACTCAGTACTTTGTTGAAGCACCTTTGGCAGCGATTACAGCCTAGAGTCTTCTTGGGTATGACGCTACAAGCTTGGCACACCTGTATTTGGAGAGTTCTCCCTTTATTCTCCGCAGATCCTCTCAAGCTCTGTCAGTTTGGATGGGGAGCGTCTCTGCACAGCTATTTTCAGGTCTCTCCAGAGATGTTCGATTGGGTTCAAGTCCGGCTCTGGTTGGGCCACTCAAGGGCATTCAGAGACTTGTCCCGAAGCCACTCCTGCGTTGTTTTGGCTGTGTGCTTAGGGTCGTTATCCTCTGGAGCTCTGTCAGTGTGACCATCGGGTTCTTAGTCACCTCCCTGACCAAGGCCCTTCTCCCCCGATTGCTCAGTTTGGCCGGGTGGCCAGCTCTAGGAAGAGTGTTGGTGGTTCCAAACTTCTTCCATTTAAGAATGATGGAGGCCACTGTGTTCTTGGGGACCTTCAATGCTGTAGACATTTTTTGGAACCCTTCCCCAGGTCTGTGCCTCGATTCAATCCTGTCTCAGAGCTCTACGGACAATTCCTTCGACCTCATGGCTTGGTTTTTGCTCTGACATGCACTATCAACTGTGGGACCTTATATAGACAGGTGTGTGCCTTTCCAAATCATGTCCAATCAATTGAATTTACCACAGGTTGACTCCAAGCAAGTTGTAGAAACATCTAAAGGATGATCAATGGAAACAGGATGCACCGGAGCTCAATTTAGAAGTCTCATAGCAAAGGGTATGAATACTTATGTAAATAAGGTATCTGTTTTTTTTATTTGTAATACATTTGCAAAATCTCTACAAACCTCTTTTCACTTTGTCATTATGGGGTATTGTGTGTAGATTGATATCAATAAAGGCGCATAAAGCCGTTTCCACCGGCATTTCTCGCATAATTAATTTTACTGACACAAAAAGTGATGCAGACAACTACATTGATGGAAGCTACAATCTGCAATATTAAAGCTGATCTACCCCCTAAAAAATGTAATAATATATATATATATATATATAATTAAAACAAAATCCCACTAGGTCGAATTAACAAATTCGGCATTTATAAAATTGTACTGGCATTTCATGTTTCCATCAGCCCGGTCATGACTTTTCTCATGCATCAGGTAAATCCGCATGAAATGGTTGGATGGAAATGTGGTTAGTGTCTGTAAATAAATATTTGATAATGGAAAGAAGTGGAGGGCGCTCAACCAACGTGAGTTGAAGTGCAATCAAATAATTTGATCACCAGTGAAAAGGCACAACACACGCATAGGCTACCATGGTGAGCGAGCGTTACACCTTTACATTTTCAATAAAGATCGATGACTCATTTGTCTCTGCCTGCAGATCACCCTCCTAAAAAAGGTAGGCTATATCCTATATGCAAAACGTAGCTCAAGAGAAAGTGCAAGTGTCTGCTCTCATCATTCTTACGGCTTCAAGTTCAGTAGCCATACCTGCGAGATCAGGTGCGTGTGTGGTCTCAATTAAACAGAGTAGGCTATAGCCTATGCATGGGCGAAGCAGCAAGTGGCAGTTATCTTTCCAAGGAAATGTACTTCCTAAACATAATTAGGCTATTATTGTTTACTACATTGCCTAGAAATAAATATTGATCACCCATATTTGTCTCCATCTGAAAATCGTCCCACTCCTAAAAAGGTAGCCTACCCTCAACACTGGGGCCCCTCAGGGGTGCGTGCTAAGCCTCCTCCTGTACTCCCTGTTCACCCACGACTATGTGGACACGTACGAGTCCAACACCATCATTAAGTTTGCCTGATCACTGACTACAATGAGACATCCTATAGGGAGGTGGTCAGAGACCTGGCAGAGTGGTGCCAGAACAACAACCTCCTCCCTCAACGTCAGCAAGACAAAGGAGCTGATCGTGGACAACAGGAAATGGAGGGCAGAGCACGCCCCCATTCACATCGATGGGGCTGTAGTGGAGCAGGTCAAGAGCTTCAAGTTCCTCGGGTCCACATCATTAAAAGGACCTATCATGGTCCAAACACACCAACACAGTCGTGAAGAGGGCACGACAATGCCTCTTTCCCCTCAGGAGGCTGAAAATATTTGGCATGGGCCCTCAGACCCTCAAAAAGTTATACAGCGGCACTATTTAAAGCATCTTGACTGGCTGCATCACCGCTTGCTATGGCAACGGCTTGATATCCTACTGCAAGGCGCTTCAGAGGATGGCGCGTACAGCCCAGTACATCACTGGGGCCGAGCTCCCTGCCATCCAGGACCTCTATACCAGGCGGTCAGAGGAAAGCCCTAAACATTTTCTAAAGACTCCAGCCACCGAAGTCAGACTGTTCTCTCTGCTACCGCACAGCAAGCGGTACCGGAGTGCCAAGTCTGGGCCCAAAAGGCTCCTTTACAGCTTCTACCCCCAAGCTGCTGAACAGTCAATCAAGTGGCTACCCGGACTATTTGCATTGACCCCCTTTTTTTTTTTTTGCCACTGACTATCTTGCACTAGTTCTATGCACACTCACTGGACTCTACCCAAACACTCACACATACTACACTGACACTCCAACACACACACACTGCTGCTACTCTGTTTATTATATAGCCTGATTGCCTAGTCACTTACCTCCGTACCGGTACTTGTATATAGCCTCGTTGTTGTTGTTTTATTGTGTTACCATTTCTTTTTTTATTTCGTAAATTTTTCTTACTTCTTAAATCTCGTAAGTAAGCATTTCACGGTAAAGTCTATATTTGTTGTATTCGGCACGTGACAAATAAAATTTTATTGGATTTTGTTATAAAATGTAGCTCAAGAGAAAGTACAAGTCTCTTCAACTCTGCTCTCTTCAAACTACGTCTAGCCTATTGGCTGATATAGCCCAGTAATACCGATAGCCTAATATAAATGGGCCACATGAGAATCTCTGAATTTAACCCATTTCATCAGTTATTTTTGCTCATTTCGATTTTGCCTATAGGGTGAAAAATTGCTGGGACCATGGCTGGCAAGTCAGCTGCGTCACATACTCCTAAAATAACATTGTGGGACTGCGGCTGGGTTTGGGACCAGTTCTTGTGGTAGCGGATGGAGTCAGACAGAAAGCCAGCAGGTGTGGGCGAGTGCGGTATGAAAAGCTGTGGGTGGGATGAATAAATCAGTCCCGTGCACCTCTACCGCAGTGCATACTTTCCATTGTGGTTAATAGTGCACTGCAGTGCATACTTTACATTGAGTATGGTTACATGCACACACTGATGCAATTATTGTGGATTGTCAGATTAATATAATACACTGAACAAAAATATAAAATGCAACAACTGCTTGTCCCATGTTTCATGAGCTGAAATAAAAGATTCCATAAATGTTCCATACGCACAAAAAGCTTATTTCTCTCAAATATTGTGCTCAAATTTGTTCACATCTCTGTTAGTGAGCATTTCTTCTTTGCCAAGATAATCCATCCACCTGGCAGGTGTGGCATATCAAGAAGCTGATTAAAATCATGATCATTACACAGGTGCACCTTGTGCTGGGGACAATAAAAGGCCACTAAAATGTGCAGTTTTGTCACACAACAATGCCACAGATGTCTCAAGTTATGAGGGAGCGTTCAAGAGGACTAGCCTACATTGTCTAATTCTCTGTATGGTAATAATAATACATTTTATTTTGAAAAGTGGTTTCTTGCATCATACAACACAATGCAGTCACCTACAGACCAAGTAAAAAAAATCATGAATTAATGTCAAGCCCTTCATAACGTAAAAAGGTTTTTAAAAGTCTCATGCAATGTAGGCCTGCATTGAACACCACATATAGGCTACTGTAGGCTATATCTTAGAAATCAAAAGCTATTTTCATGTGAAAATATTATGGGATTTGCGCCATTGGTTTTGTTGGTAGGCCTACATTATGCTCAAATAGCCACAATAGCCTATTGGCTACTGTTTAAAACTGTAAGGGTACATCCTCAGTGTAGTTGAAAATGTATGCACTCACTAACTGTAAGTCGCTCTGGATAAGAGCGTCTGCTAAATGTAAAAATGTAAATGTAGTTGCACAAAATTCTCACAATGTTCAAGTTTCCGCTCACATGACCTAAAATTTGCTCAGTGCCCCAAACATTTTTAGGGAACATTGCATGTATGGCGAAGCTACGGACAACAAACACAATTGCATTTTATCAAAGGGCAATTTGAATGCACAGAGATAACGTGACGAGAATGAGGCCCCTTGTCGTGCCATTCATCCGCTGCCATCACCTCATGTTTCAGCATGATAATGCACGGCCCCATGTCGCAAGGATCTGTACACAATTCCTGGAAGCTGAAAATGTGGCAGTTCTTCCATGGCCTGCATACTCACCAGACATGTCACCCATTGAGCATGTTTGGGATGCTCTGGATCGACAGTGTGTTCCAGTTCCTGCCAATATCCATCAACTTCGCACAGCCATTGAAAAGGAGTGGGACAACATTCCACGGGCCACAATCAACAGCCTGATCAACTATGTGAAGGATATGTGTTGCGCTGCATGAAGTAAATGGTGGTCACACCAGATACTGACTGGTTTTCTGATCCACACCCCTACTTTTTTTTTTTAAGGTATCTGTGACCAACAGATGCATATTTGTATTCCCAGTCATGTGAAATCCATAGATTAGGGCCTAATGAATTTATTTCAATTGACTGATTTCCTTATATGAAATGTAAAACTCAGTAAAATCTTTGAAATTGTTGCATGTTGCGTTTCTATTTTTGTTCAGTATAGTTCAATGAAAATGTTGACATGCTCTGCAAGAAGAACGATTTCCCTAAGAATTCCTGTTTACATGGACACATCTGAAATCAGGCTACCTGAAAATCGCCAATTAAAATACATTTTCTAAGACAGCGACCATGTTATTTTTGGGAAGCATATTTGATTCTGAATTTGGGTATATAAAGTTTGTATGTGAGAACTACTTCTAAAACGCATTCATTTAGTTGTTCCAAACTCACTTCAATTGCGCTAAAGAGGGAGGCTCGCTCCGCTGGTGCTTGCACATGCGCAGATCAAATACACCGCTGGACCGCCAATTAAGGTGTTTACATGTCCTAATAATTCTAAAGATCGCTCAGAAAACAGGGTTTAAGATAAGAACAAGGTGTTCACATGACTATTGCATAATCTGCCTACTGCCATAATCAGTTTAATATCGAGTTATTACTGCGCATGTAAACACAATCAATGTGGTGGTGAATTCCGTTGTGGTTAATAGTGCACTGCGGTGCTTACTTTCCATTGTGGTTAATAGTGCACTGCAGTGCTTACTTTCCATTATGGTAAATAGTGAACTGCAGTGCATACTTACTCTTGAGCTCTTCTTTGTTCTTCTCACTAGCAGCATTGTCGACACGGAGAGCACGGCCGCTGAACTCTCTTCCGTTCAGGTTCCGCATGGCACTGAGGGCTGTCTCCTGGTCTTGATACTCACAGAAGCCATATCCTTTTGGCTTGCCTGTCTCCCTATCATACACTAACCTGAAAAATAGTGTAGGCTTACAAAGGAAGAAGAATTGCCTAGAGCACAGCAGCAATTGTTTCAAGCAGGTTGAACGTTGCCTTAAGACTGCTCACTTACCTGAAGCTGACAACAAGCCCGACTTCTGAAAAAATGTCTTTCAGTTGCTCCTCTGTGGCCTCATATGGAATGTTTCCCACTGTGAAATTAGTTAGAGTTCAAGACAGCAACTTGGCCGAGTTGTGGAAAAACTTCTACAATACAAGAATCCTAAACAACAACATTCAAGAGTTCTTAGTTAACGTTACTGTGGTCTATGGCTGAACCACCTGCTGCAGACAACACTGCAGTGCTAGTAGCTATGTGTGATGGTAATTCTGACACTATTCGCAAACTAGCTAGTTAACTATAAACATTCTTAACACAGGTATACACTTAGCTAACTTGCCACATAAGTCTGTGATACTGACAGCGGTATACCTTGGCTAACTACTAACGTGAGGCATACTAGCTAACGTTAACGATAAAAAGACGTTTGATACAAATCCTGCACACATTAGCCATCTAACGACGTTTGTAACGTACGGTAGCTAGCTATCTGCTGCTGTGCTGTGTCTACTCTAGCGCGTCTTGCAAGCTATCCAGCTCACTAGCTATGAGTACTAACTTATTCTCCGACATACATACACTTTTGAATCAACTAGTATTCCCTCATCAATACATTTACCAAAGACAGAGCGCAATGAACGGTCAACAGCGGGATCTCTGCCAGCGGCAGCAACAACGGCAGCTGCTAAAGTTGCCATTTTAAGGAATGATAACGGTGTAGCAACAGGAAAAGCAAACTTTAAAGTGTAACACCATCCGGTTTACTAGGGGGCCTCGTTCAGTGTTTCAAATGCGTCAGCGTTTCATCACAGATTATCCATTAGCTTGCATATTGACCAGATACTATAGTGGCCGCTCTAACAATGAAAATAAATGTCTTCAAAAATAGAAGGCAGTTGGGAGGAGGCAAGATCAGGGGGGACCATTCGAGCCCATGAGAGGGCAGATAAGCGTGTGAACAACAGACACACCGGTTTCCACTAGTTACCACAGCCACAAAGTCAAAATTGGCTATATCGTAACAATTCATGAAAAAAACAAGTTGCTTTTTGGTCTTCATTTAAGGTTAGGGTTATGCATAAGGTTAGGGTTAGGTTTAAAATCACATTTTAAGAAGATAAAATGTAGAAATAGGCTGGGTGTATGTCTTTGTGGCTGTGGTAACTAGTAACGACCAGGCACAACATCGATTAACGTGTTTTTTCTCAAAGTGTGGATGTCACGTGTCCTACTTATATCAGTACACTCGTAACAACCTAATCATTACGAAACTTATATTTGATAAAATAAGCCACACGTAGCAAATAAGCCATTCAATGTTTTGTTAACAAAATTCGATACTCTCTCATTGACCTCCATACAAAAACTCCTGGCTTGGTGAGCGAAAAAAAAACGAAAAACCCCCACTTATGGAGAACACAGATTTTAGGCCCAGTTATCCCTAGCTTCGCCTCTTCCTCTCTTGTTTCATACATTTACATTAACATTTACATTTATAATTGAATGAACGCATCGTTCATTCCTTCCTCCATGAATTGAGGTGTCAATGATTAAATTAATGAAAGTAGCTAAAGGTTTACGGTGTTGTCCACTGAAAATAAACTATTTCAATAAAATAACAGCACTACTATTAATGCACTTGCATACATGACGCTCACATTTGGCGGAAAAAACACACCAGTCTCTTTGTCCACTAGGGGGCATCATTTCTTGCAGCAAGTAACATGCATGCGCTCTAACTCACGTTTTAGTTCATGAACCTCTTGGGTGAAATTAATTTTTTATTGACTTGCCAACTTCATACACGTGTTTATATAGCTTGCTAAACAAATGGGTCAAGTCAAGTGTGCGAACACAGAACATATACATTCAATTAGTTGGTAAGTAAGTTAGCTAATGTGAAAGCTGAGACAAATTCATGATAAATGTAGGCATATAGCTAACGTTAGCCTAGCCCTGGTTCTAGCCCTGCCTATCTAATGTTGCCATTCTAGCTAACTTCATTGACTACAACGCGCTTGAATTGATAGCTAGCAATAAGCTAGCAACATGCATCTATTCGAATTTCGCAAACAAGCTAGCTAGATTGAATTATTAGACAGTTCCTCCATGTGGACCTAGATAACTAGCTAGCTAGTATGCCAGTCTAAGGTTACCATAGATGTCAAAAACTATTAGAGGCAGAGGCAAATATTTTCTTAGCAGTTTGATAATGTTAGCTAGTTTCAGTCGTTGTGTTTCATTTTCAAAAGGGGCAAACATGTTAATTTAGGTTGAGTTTAGTTTATGAATTGCTGGCTTTTTAAAATTATGTCCTCATAGTGTGTATTTATCGCCCATAGTGTGTATTTATATTAGAAAAGCCAATATTGTAAGTCAATGGATAAATGGTCATAACTATATGCAGAGTGATATCAGTCACAATAGGCAGAAGGATTTATCACATTCAGACGATTTAATCTGAAATCAGTGTTTAGTCATGATCCTTCTTGGAGGATACTCATTATGGAATAAAATGCATTATAGGGGAGTGGAGAAAGTCTTTGAGAAAGTGATAAACCCAATCTCAAATGGGACCATAACCTGCCTGCGCCCTATGCACTTGTGGAGATCTGAGGATTTGACAGGTGTAAGCAATATGGTAATAGCGCCACCTTGCCCTCTGATAGGTGGAAGTTTCACCATGTTACTTATATGAATCAATTGAAAAAGAAAAGGAGAGCCTCATACTCTAGGAGCTCAGATGCAATAATTTTATAACCAACGTTTATACGAATCAAACCTAGGGGTCCATTTGGGATTGGGCCACAATGCAGAGGACATGGGCATGGTGGCAGCACAATTGGCAAGGATATCAGCCTGGATCAGCTAGAAGTGGGTTCTCAAATATCCAGTCATCACTGTCCAAATTACAAGTCTGGCCTGGGAGAGTGCTGTATCCCTAACTCACCAATGCACTTGGAAAGCCCTGGGACCCTGTAAAGAACAGATTTAACAGAAGGGGGTGCTAACTAACAAGATGAAAAACAAACAGCTTGATCATTGGTCGTTTATTTTAGTCCACAAGGATTCAATTATTGTAATCACTGGTACTTGCTATCTATTAGAAAAACAATATGACTATACAACCACAATGTAAAGAAATTGCTTTGGACATATAGTTATTGTTGCTGAGTATTTTTAATAGGGTATTTTCTAGGGCTGGGAATTGCCAGGGACCTCACGATACGATTCTATACAGTGCATTCGGAAAGTATTCAGACCCCTTGACTTTTTCCACATTTTGTTACGTTACAGCCTTATTCTAAAATGGATAAAATAAATAAAAATAATTGTCAATCTACACACAATACCCTTAATGACAAAGCGAAAACAGGTTTTTAGAAATGTTTGCAACTTGATTGGAGTCCACCTGTGGTAAATTCAATTGATTGGACATGATTTGGAAAGGCACACACCTGTCTATATAAGGTCCCACAGTTGACAGGGCATGTCAGAGCAAAAATCAAACCATGAGGTCAAAATAATTGTTCGTAGAGCTCCGAGACAGGATTGTGTCGAGACACAGATCTGGAGAAGGGTACCAAAAAAATCCTGCAGCATTGAAGGTCCCCAAGAACACACAGTGGCCTCCATCATTCTTAAATGGAAGAAGTTTGGAACCACCAAGACTCTTCCTAGAGCTGGCCGTCCGGCCAAACTGAGCAATCGGGGGAGAAGGGCCTTGGTCAGGGAGGTGACCAAGAACCCGATGGTCACTCTGACAGAACAGAGTTCCTCTGTGGAGATGGGAAACCTTCCAGAAGGACAACCATCTCTGCAGCACCACCAATCAGGCCTTTATGGTAGAGTGACCAGACGGAAGCCACTCCTCAGTAAAAGGCACATGACAGCCCGTTTGGTTTGCCTAAAGGTCTCTCAGACCATGAGAAACAAGATTCTCTGGTCTGATGAAACCAAGATTGTACTCTTTGGCCTGAATGCCAAGCATTACGTCTGGAGGAAACCTGGCACCATCTCTACGGTGAAGCATGGTGGTGGCCGCATCATGCTGTGGGGATGTTTTTCAGCGGCAGGGACTGGGTACTAGTCAGGATCAAGGGAAAGATTAACAGAGCAAAGTACAGAGAGATCCTTGATGAAAACCTGCTCCAGAGCGCTCAGGACCTCAGACTGGGGTGAAGGTTCTTAAAGCCGGTTTTTGCATTGTCATTATGGGGTAAAAACAATTTAATCCAGTTTAGAATAAGGTTGTAACGTAACAAAATGTGGGAAAAGTCAAGGGGTCTGAATACCTTCCGAATGCACTGTATGTCCTGCAACTTGATACAGCGATTTTGGTGCAATTTGATGTTACAAACATATTGCTCACTATATATCTGCTGCAGACAGACGAGAGAGCATGAGAAAATACATTTTGATCAGTCATGGAAATAAAAGTGCTGAAAACATGTTGGCTCACTATTTAAAAAGAAGATGGAGAACAAGCTATAGGATGAAAAACACCTGACTTTTGGCGCAGGTACATCCGACTAGCGCAAGTATGGATATAATATCGTACAAAATATTATTGCGATATGTAACTATCTCGATTTTTTCACCCATCACTAGTATTTTCCCTCTGCAAGGTAAGAAACTGCAAGGTAGAGACATTTTCAAACCTATTTTTCGTAGAGACTATTTAAAATGACAATAGAGTATGACAATAATTTAGAATTTAAATTGCAATTAATGTGGTGGTCTCTTGCAAAATAATTGACAACATGGTTTATTTTCATTGCAGGTTACCTGAACTGCAGCAATGCAACAAAACACCTGGAGTGAAGAAACTTCGGTCACACTGGACAGAAGAAACTTGAATAGGCTATCAGTTTGTTTGAAAATATTACAACGTCAAAACTTGACTTCAAGATTACCAATCTCATCATGAATCAAAGAGTTTAATACAATGGAGTTTACAGTAGGCAGCTTGTTTGTTATTGAGATAATACATTAAAGGTTTGGTACCGTACTGGCATGTAGACCAGTGACCACTAAATCTGTGATCATCTGAGAACAAATGTTGTTCTTATATGCCTTCAATTTTCGT